TATATATATATATAATAATGTCGATAGTGCGAGTTGCAAAAACAAATGAATTCGAATCTTTAATTGATTAATTAATTCGATTAATTCGATTCAAGTCAAAATTATACATCATCGGTACTGGCGGGTACGTCATATATCACAAGCTAATCGTAAAGATTATAATGAAGAGTGTTTTAAGCGCCGGCAAGATGTTTTCTATGTTTTGGTGGCTGGTTAAGCCTATTCTACAATGTACTTTTTGTTTTCTATTTTCCGTTTTTTGCTATTTTTTACATCTTGTCTTTTTGATTCTTATTCGATTTTTTGTTTTATGTCGTCCGAGATAAAAGTTAACGAATTTCGGAAGAAACAGAAAACACGTAGCAAAAAATTGTCGATAAAATGACTGATAAAAGAGGGAAAAAGCAAGAGGTAAAAAGTAAGAAACAGAAAATAAAGAGCACATTGTAGAATAGGCCTTAAGACCGCACCTTAGACTTTCATAACGCATAACACATAATGCATGATTGAGCGAGTCAACTAATCAGAATCTTTCCTTTCTTCCTATTCCATGGAAAAAAAGAATTTGAATTGATTGATTCCCTTATGCATTATGCATTATGCGTTATGCAAGAGTCTATGCTACGGCCATTACCATGATAATATATGCAGAAATATCGTGTGCTTATCATAGTGTTTTTTTAACAAGATTTTTCTTATTTTGAATGTTCAGTAATCTTCGATGTCATACTTTACAGTGCTTACATTTATTGAATGCAATAGCGTCAAACAGCGGAACAACAACGAGGCGATATTTACAATGACGTAAAAAATATCGCTTTGCTATGATTGATTGCTGTTTCGTTGCTTGATTACTTTGTTGCATCCAATAAGTCAATGTTGTTAAACGGACTGAGTTTCAGATGCATGCGCGTTCAATGCTTCAGTAATGTACCGATCACTAGTAAATCAGATCAGAAGATTATTAGTCGCCTATGAAAAATTTTTTCAAAAAAATTTTAATATATTGAAAATTTAATATATTGAATATGTTGAAAATTTTAATATATTTTACATATTTTACATATGTATACATATATAGAAATATATAGAAATACAATATATAGAAATA